TGACCACCGCGGCGGGGCATCTACTACAGCCTCGAAATTCTGAAGTGAATATTGCTGTTATAGCGTTGGCTCGTATTCGCTAAATATTATCAACTCCGCTAAATTTACTGGGTAGACATATTTGTACGCATTACGAGTATAAGTGCTGCACCACTACTGACGCGTAAGCCTGCAACGGGCTATTACAAAATAAAATCTTGGTTATCTGCGGGTGATATCGTTTGAAAAAGAAATAAATATACCAAGTGTGTGTGAGCCCTTATTTTATGCTCCATATCACAGGCAAAAGTCGCCTCGTTAGTAAATTGATGAACACACTGCGCGTTTCGCAGGTGACGTGCCTTTATGAACGATTGTTCATACTTTCCGGCTTTTTCCAACACTTAGCAGTGATGTTTCTTCTGCCTGGCGCGATAACACTGCCACGGTGATTGTCTCCTTGAAAAAAAAAATCGGTGCCATGTAGAAGTGGGTCAAAAGAATGAAGACGAACATGATTGATATGTGGGGTTTAACGTCCCAAAACCACCATATGATTATGAGAGACGCCGTAGTAGAGGGCTCCAAAAATTTCGACCACCTGGGGTTCTTTAACGTGCACCCAAATCTGAGCACACGGGCCTACAACATTTCTGCCTCCACCGCAAATGCAGCCACCGCAGCCGAGATTCGGCCCCGAGACTTGCGGGTCAGCAGCCGAGTACCTTAGCCACTAGACCACCACGGCGGGGCAATGAAGATGAACAAGAATAAAATATGAGATACGCTGAAATGAATGAGCTTTAAAAAAAACGCCGTCGTTGTACGTGAAGATACAGTGTCGACTGACAGCTCGGTCTCACTTGCTTTGGCGAAAATCTTGGATGTCGGTCTTGGACTAGAAGTCTACACGCTTTCACTACAGGCCCCGATAGGGAGCCAATGTGCTACACTGCAAGAAAACACAGGCACTGGTTGTCGCTCAAACCGCAAAGGCGCAGTGTACTTGTATGCAGCGAATGTAGTGGCACAGGCGCTGGCCTTCTGACATAGAAACTAGCGTGAAGTCAGGCCACTATGTTAACGTTGGTTAGTCCACGCACACGTATGGTCAGCTCTGGTGGCGTTAGGTACAAAAACATACGAGATAGCAACTTGGGCTACACCAACAAGCACACGAAGCTCAGTGGTTGAATAAGTGTCTTGAAATCTTATGTGAGCGTGTAGGGAGCCCACACCATGCTGTGAAGTCAGTGTAGATTTGAAACGAAACTCGCTTTAAAGAGGAAAAAAATCCTGTGCTAGTTAATCGTTCATGGGACACTCGTGCAGACCACAATACGTCCTGGCCTGTTGAGGGCCCGGCCTTTCATTTGACGGAAGAAATCCACAACTGGACGTTTGCGCACTAGTAGATTTTAAGACGAGCTCTTTGAGAAAGTGATTGTGTAGTTTAAGCAAGATTTTCGTATCAGGATATGCCTAGCATCGCGATACACCGAAGTTGATAATACCGGCTCTTTAGGGTTGCAGGTTACGGCGAATTTGCTTATGGTTGGTGCATGACTGGTTTATTACTGTTTTTCTCAATATTTATGCAACCGGAAACATGTTTAGGTCGCATACATAACAAGAAAACACGTGTACATGGCAGCAAACGTGAAACGTGCATTAAGGCATGAAGCTAGAACCTCACTCTAAGCAGTTATGCTTTGTCTATTCTACAGAAAAATATGTCGCTATTTCAACATTTTTATATGCTTCCGATCATTAAATGTAGATGAGTTGTCATGTTTTTTATGTGAGAACTTACTAGAAATTACATACAGACAAGAAAATTGACTCGTTATCCACAGAGTATCTGATTTTCAGCCCCAGGGAAGGCATCAAGCCCGTGGATGTTCACATGTATGGAAAGAAAGACTAAGACTCACCGCTGCATCCTAGGCAGGAAGGCCCACACGTGACTGGAAACTTAGAGCTCCACAGTGCAGAGCTCGTTTCTTCTTATATGCAACGACATAGGCCTTTATGTGTGTAAAGAGAAGCACATGTTCTGGGGATACTGGAAATAACAGAACATCTAAATGCAGCCCAGAAAGTGTCCGAGCTGTCTTCTTCTTACACTATAGTTTTGCTCTCAGTACAGCTGCATTTACCCACCTGAGATGACAAATTAAGATGGTCAAGCTTGTAGGTCCAGTAATAACACTAAGCACGAAATATATCTTTATTGCGTCAACAATGATTAACATACACGTAATCTCGGTAGTGGTCTATATGGCACAATTTTCTCAATCATAATACAGTATGCCTTCATACCTATTCATTGGTGAACATTCTAAAGGATGGAATAACGAAGGTTCTAGGAATTACAAGTCTATACTTGTTCGCGTATCTTCTTTTACACGGGATTTTATACGCCGAAACGTCATTCAAAAGATATTGAAAACGAGCAGCAGCCCGAGTCGGCATTCTCAATCACTTTCTTGGGAGCCCTTTGTTAAAACTGTTGCTTGGGCGAGGTGGTTCATAAATATTTAGACTGATTTGCCAGCGCAGAAAATACAAAACATTCAGAAAGACACAACGCACAGCGCTGTATTCACAACTGATTTAATATTTAAAACACAGGGCATTTTTGTAATTTTGTGTGTTGTCTCTTTCTGAATGTGTCGTATTTTTGGCGCTGATAAATCAGTCTAAACAACCCTTTGTTATAGCGAACGCTCAGAAGATGTGACGTTCCTGATTTCGGTGACAAAGTAACTACAGTTACAACTTCAATGTGGTAACCGTATTTAAACACTTTAGATGTGGAGCATCTCTTGCTCGCGGGTATGTCACGTGTCCGTCGTCCGCACTCACAGTACGCATGCGCGACTCTCCTCTTTTCTCCTCTACAACATCTGGGAGTTACTTTCTCCACTTCTCTTCTACCACCTGCTTGCGCTTGCTCCCACATTGCGGATGAACGCCTCCTTCTCTCTGTCTCTCTTCTCATACACTCTCCCTTATTTCGTCGCGACACCTAAGGTCCCTAGATGAAAAATACTTGTTTTATCTAGGTACATTAGCAACGCTGACGCAGGGGACGTCTGCTAACCTACACTCACTCCCCCTTCTCCTCCTGGCATTTCTTCCTGCGGCGTCTCGCAAAGCCGACGCAGGCAGCGTTTCCTAACGAGTTCCTTGATTGCAAAAAAAGAACGGACTACTCGCGCCACACAATTGCGATGCCCCCCCCCATCACCCCATAGCTCCTTGGAGAAATGGTGCAAATTTTAGGTGAGGTTGGCCTTCTAGCAGTACTGTGGCGCCGATGACGCAATTGTCTATTCACCTTAGCGTGATATTACCTCATCATAATACGCAGTCACAGTGCAGACTTTGTGTTTTGTCCGATTCGATAATCGATTGAGTTTTCGTAAAGGGTGATATTTCCCAAGGCATTTATGATTGAGAATACCCCTCGTGGACACGCCTATTATCTACACAGAATCTGTGGCACTCGTCACGTGCGGAAAATAAAATATGTGAAGAAGGCGACACAGAGTAGATTGAAATGCAGGTCACGTTGTGCGCGACAGTGGGCTCTCAACATGGCGCATGCGCATTGGAACATTGGGAACTGCTCGCTTGTCGAACTGCGAACATTTTTTTCAACGCGCTTTGAATGTAACTCCGACAACGTGGTTCAAAAAGCTCTTTGGTAATTTCAGTCTGCGCACCACGCATTGAGCGTTTCAACGCAACGACGTTATTTAGGGACTAATGTCCCAGTGATGTGAAAGGTAAAATGGGGAAGGAGGACGGGGGTCGAATGTTCTCAGACCGCTTTCCCTATTACTCTCTTGACAGCCCAGCGCGGGTGCCCCCGCATCTTGTAGAAGCCACATCTACGGTACTGAAAAGAGCTGTTGTGTGACAGAGAAGATTATCAGGTATAGACGACGAGTAAATTTAAAATGTCTTCACTTCGGCGGGTGCAGTCTATTCTTTCTTGCTTTCATCAATTTGAGCACTGAGCTTTATTTTTTCCCTCGGCCAATCGCGGTTTATCGCGAGGATGCTTATGCTCTGGTGCACAATATTTTATAAATCTAAAATGACTCTCTGTATGGCAACAAGATAGTTCAAGCAGCTGAATAATGAAGCGTTATGAATGGTTTTTGTATTCCCAAAAAGGCTAGCCGTAGAAACAGCATTGACTATCACACAGCCTCTGTGGGCTGCATTACAAGTGACATCAAGGGCGACGTAAGGATGGGTTAGCTAACGGCAATTAATATTGTGTCTATGAAACTGACACGAACCAATTACTGAGTCTGTATAGGTTCGAACAATTTTCAGCGTTGAGCCTTTAAGGGTATAAAACTCTCAGATGCACGACACGAAAGGAACCGCAAACACGATGGCTGATGATTACCATCTTGAAAAAAAAATGGTGCACCATTCGTTTGTTTTATTTTAACGTGGTGCCCCTTTACAAAAGTTTTGCTGTCGTATTCTAGTCATGCTTTCTTTATGCTTTTCTGCAATCGTCTTCGCACAACAGCCTTTCTTTCGAAGTTTCCCAACTGGCGTAGCATAATGGCTACACTAATCAAGAAATGTACGTTCGTACTATTCCCAAAGCAGCGGATAATGCTATGCACAGCTCTCTTCACTTAATATTTACGCAAAATAGAAAAGGATCGAGACCACTGCAAGCGATTTCAGCCTGATTCAATCTTATGTATCTTTTTGGAAGCCCTAGCGTATCGTTTAATAGGGTACACATTCTTCAAATACATTTCTTTTTTTTTGTCCGAGACACCACAATAGACTGTACAATACAAATGATGTGCTTTCGGTAACTTTTCGTCAGAATTAATCAGCGAAATATTGTTGTGAAATATTGGTTTGGTTTTGAAAATCTAGAACCTGTATACTTCGTTTATCGACGAATATTCCGAATAACGATGAATAAAAATCGCCGTTCTCATTCCGGCTTGCCACACACTTTTCGTCTCTTCTACTCAACAACCCTCTATTCTCGGTGAGAAGCATGAAATGTTGCATGAAGCAGTGATGCAGAGGAGGTTCAAGGACGGAAACTGCTGCTGTACAGCAGCTTACCCCGAAAGTACGCTAGTGTCCTGTAAGTTTTACTACGCCAGTGCCCTTTTTCAAACTTATCCGGTATAGTCAATCATTCTAACAGCAAGGGCTTAAGACTACTGTAGGCTTTATGTGGTTCATGTTTCTTTTCTATTTTTAAATGCAGCAAAACAACTATGACAACAACTGTGGTAGCAGGAGTTGCAAGGATTCTACCTTTCAAAAGAAAATGTGGTAAGTTGTAGCAGTAACAATATCCTTGTTCAGCGTTCACCTCATGAAGAATTGAATTTTACAGCACAGATACAAGATGAATTGAATAGACGCTTTGCGCTGCAGAATTCAGTTAGCAATGACGACAAACAAGCTTGCCTGTCTGTTTTGTCATCTGCGTTCACATTTTGCATGAGCATCAACATGACTTTATATATTTGATTCAGCGCATAAAACATTGTTTAATGAACCACCCTGTTGGGCTTTCTGAGGGGTAGTCATTTCTACAATAAGGTGATGCTCTTTAAAACCGTGGCACCAAGGAAACATGATAGAGCCAGAAAAAATTTTAGATGGGTTCCTCTTTCGAACTAGTGCTTACCGTTAGGTCTATTCCTTCTTTTTGAACCTTGAATGATCGGCAAATGAAAATACTGCTTTTAATTTTGTAGAGTTGGTTAGACATTACTTTTTTTGCACCAAATACTACCACCAGTTCTTACTTATATATTCCACCCTGCCGTATTTGGTCTCCTACGCGCAAGCACCAATCTCACTGAGCGATACCTTTTTGAATATCATCGCGACAAGACTGTACTGCAATCCTTTTGAGCACTCTTCACTAACACAATTATTGGTGACGTGTAAGCTGCGATAATGCTATAACTGTGTTATTTGCGGTAAACTTGCATGCTGTTTGCCGGCGCGTTTCACAAAACAAGGATTGCCACTGCATAGAACCGAAATGACATTCAATAAACTAAGAATTGCTTATTGATTTTACAAGGCGATGGTTAATTCTTTCGATAAGTACGCCATTAACCTACATAACTGATGGCCCACGCTGGTCACATATTCACTTGGTGTCATGATCATTCAACATTTACGATCATTTTTTCCCGTGAAGATGTCTTCGAAGTAGAACTTCACAAGGCAAGACAGCAAGTTCAAAAAGAAAACTTAAATATAAAGTAACTGTTGAGTAGAATATTGTGCTTCCATTTCCCTGTGTTCAAAGTGATAGTGTGTTCGCGGGTTTTTGAAGTTATGGCTGCTGGTGTTGATCATCCTGTAGATTTTCAAGCAAAATTCAAGAGCGGGCTGCGCAAAGAACATGGCGCACTAGATGCCCTCAATACTTTGTCGACAGACGCGCACCAATGACTCCCGTGAATCGAGTTCTTTGCAGGCCTTTTCGTTTTCCCTCCTCTTGAGACGGTAATACTAAAGTCGAATAAGCCCACACAGTAACGAACAACGATTGATTGAATGTCCTGTCTATCAGCAAACCTTCTTCGAGCGTTCACAGTATGTCATTGGACACCTTGGTAAGTTTCGTGACACACGCTGCCGAGCTCTCCTTCCTCGTTCCTTTCCGCATCGTCCGACGGTGCGCGATCTGCCCTTGCCCGAAGAACCACGTGCATATGGCGTCTTGCGGCCACAGCAGATGACCTTACGGAAGCTCTTGCGGAAGTTGTCTGAGAGGAAGGCGTACAGGAACGGATTCACGCAGGAGTTGGTGTAGGCAAGTATCTGTGAGGCGATCTGGACGACGATGCGTGGCGCAGTTCATGGTCCGCCCGTACAAGTCGACGCTCTTGAGCACCAGCACCACCTGCACGGGACACCAGCACAACGCGAACACAACCACGACGACCACGACGAGACGAGTGACGCGCTTCTTGGAGCGCATGCTCTCGGCGCTGATGCGGCCTCCAGGTGCGGCTGCAAGCCAGAGCCTCTTCAACATCAGGAGGTACAGCACGAACACGATGGCCAATGGGACGACGAAGGAGGACATGAAGAACGATATCTGGAAGGCTGCTATGTTGTAGCCCATGTCGGTCCTGAAGGTGCAGGCCGAGTAGTTCTCCTCGATGAGCACGACCCCGTGAGCGAAGAGAGCAGGAACGCAGGCGGCGAGGATGACGACCCAGGTGAAGAGAATGGCGAGGTTGGCGTTTCGTTCCGTTCTGATAGACATGGAAGTGATCGGATGGACGACCGCGAGGAACCGGTCAAGAGACATGAGCACCAGTGTGTAGATGCTCGCGTACGCGCACACGATCACGAGGTACTGGACAATGCGACACCAGGCATCACCGAACGGCCAGTAGTTGAGGGTGTAGTCCCATCCGGTGAAGGGGACGCAGAAGACGATGAAGAGCAGGTCAGCCATCGCGAGGTTGATGATGAGGTTGTTAGTGGTGGATCGCATTTGCGGGTCACAGAGCACCACAAGAACAACCAGGGCGTTGCCAAAGAAGCCGATCACCGCGATGGCACCAAAAAGGATGGGCACGGCGATGGCTAGGACTTCTTCGACTGTCCTAGTATCGACGTCACTGTCGTAATCGACGTGTTCGAGATGATCGAGAGGCGTCGCACTGGATGTGTTGTCACTTATTCCTGCCTGACAGGGCCAAATGGTTCCATTGCAAGGTGCTGCGCTGAGGACTCTCAGTAACGCCTTCTGGGCCAGTAGCGTTAAGAAGGATGTGAGGGCTGCCAGTGGATTAGCTGGTGGCAGTTTGCTACTGGAAGGATTTAGAAGGACGTTGTGATCACTTCTGTTCAGCACGTCAAGTGGTGTCGCTGGTGATACCGTTGTGATTGATTGATCCATTTTGTCTGAGTGTCCCAAAAATTTTTCTTCTTTTGCTGTCGGTTACCCCTAATTGCTCATGTAGGTAGCCTCCATGGGGCACCTGCACAAAAATAGAGACATTCAAAACAGTGTGGTTAATTAAGATACACCCAGGTGGTCAATGTTGGTAAATTCTAGAATTTAAGCTTCGACACAAAAATCTGCCAGAAAAGTTTCATAGTTAGTACTGTGTAACCTAACTTAACAATATTTCTAACTATCAATAGCAATATTCTCAATAAAATCGCGTGAAAAACAAAAGTTTTAGGACAAGCGTGAAAGTTTTTTCAGCGTTTTCTGGTAAACAGGACAACTAACATCAAGTGGAAAACATTGCCCCGTGGAGAGTCATTCAATGCAATTTGCCGATGCATAAATAGCTGGGTCTTGCGTCATTTCGGAAGGAACGAGTCATTGTTGCGTAAACCATCAGGCGCGAATTATGGTGCGCTGTTCGTAAAGGTCTAAATTTCACAAAACATGGTAGGAAGGCACTGCGTACTATATTTCAATAAAGGAAAGAGAAGTAGTTGTTTGTAGTCAGCTCCAACTAATTATTGTTGAATACCATAAATTTGTATGCTGAAATATCCGGCACTCCGTCCTGTTCCAAGTTTACACAGAATCAGGGACAACTTCAGCCAAAAATGCATACCAAGATATCTTTAGCTGTGTTAATTTCGAGCAAAAAATATTACAAATTAAGTTGGTTATTGTGCATGTCACGTCGAGTGACCCGTCTAACATATTAGTGCCTTCATCACTGTAATCGGCTGCGATCATACACAACATATTGGTGTAATAAGGCAGAAGGTTCAGTTGATCCTACGCGCAATGTATCTTGCCATTCCTTCCCAACTTCTCCAAAGAACTATCAAAACCATTCGCACCAGAAGGGGAGATAAGTGATATTTTATTGTGTGCCTTGGCTTAGGTACGCATCCACTTATGTAGCAGTAACTCCATGCTTTGTAATACATTAGGTGCCAAAGCGAAGTTGGCTGCGACTATGCCTGCGACCAAGACCATCTATTGAGAAAGGAGCGGATCTTTCATACACGGTTCCTCCCCCCATATATATATATATATATATATATATATATATATATATATATATATATATATATATATATATATATATATATATATATTCAAGGCCTAATTTTTTATACCGCAATTTCCGGGCTTGGCGGGATGCATTGTCTCGTCCTGATATGGATGACTAGGGGATATCACACTAAGTCTCATATCAGTACTGTCGAATTCTAAGCGACTGTCGAATTTCCCAGTGCGCAACTTCTCATGTTCTGCTGATCATGCTTTAGGAAGAAATGCTTGCATAATTGAAAATCCAATCACCCGAAGATTCAGGACTTTCGGCAAAAGGGGACGTCTAAATGTCCACTATATCAGTTTTCGTGGCTCGCACTGGCGAAAAAAAATCTGTACTACCGTGAAGTCGAACACAACTTTACGACTATCTGATCTTGAAAGCCGATGCGCTTGAACCCTCAGCGAAATTTAATTTACAGTGTAGAAAAGAACAACGGCATGTTCATAGGTGATGGCATTGCCACTGGAAGCATTTAGAATGCTAAAAGATGGCCATAAACCCGATGTGCTATGAGTACAGTGAGTCACCTTGAACAACTAGTCATAATCTGAAACTCAGTAATAGTACGTGATTAATTCCCAAGAATAAAATTATTTACCAGAACCAAGACTGCACAGTGCTTATACGCAGCTATGCTCTAACGTAACATCTATTTCTGAATGTTCAGCCTACAAATACAAGCCTCGTAAAAGACATTTCAAGTGCAAGAAGTAATGCACTTCGCATTCGCAGGTTAGGTCTGTTTTAGATGTTTGAGCTACACTAGTAATGAAATTTCACGATTTAGCTTCGAATCTGGTTACATGGTTTTCGTAATGAATAGGCTTAGTTAGTTAGCGTCATATCTTCGCCCTCTGAATATTTCTGAAGGTTGAACTGTTGTCCTCATTTTCGTTTGCTGCAAGGAACGTTTTTTTTCGTGAACCAGAATTTCCAGATATGCGAAAGTATGCAGCGAGTGGTATTATTTTTTTCTAAAAGGCCCTACTCAATGTGAATTTTTTTAAAATTATACCATGGGCAGCCTGTGTTACAATGTATGACCATCTACGACCTAACGTAGTGGTCACCGTGTATCTATAACTGTTCTTGAGTAAACTGTTCAGTGGAAGCTAACTTTCGCGTATGGTCAGCGACTAATCTCTTCAACCATTGTGGCATTTTCTGTGCCTTTCAGTCAATCCCTGTCCAATGTTTCTTTAGGCACGTTGTTACGCGCTGAGGAGACCAAGACTCGTACGACTGAAGAGGCCGTTTATTAGGTCGCGAAGGCCAACGGCGAACAGGCTGATTCCAGCGGCGTCTTCGCCTTCTTTGTAGATGCCTCTCAGGGTAGCCAGCACGTTCACTGGTCTTCGTTTTTGTCGTGGATCCGTACACCATTTTTCTCCTCGCCGCAGACGAAGCCCACCAGGTGAGTTAGGCGATTCATCTCGGCGTGAAGAACTTCAAGCGAGCATCATGGACAGCTTGGGTTTTAGCAGCTCTTCGACCACTCACCGTGAGGCGAGCCATTGTGTACGTGGCCTCGGTGAGTTTGTTGAGAATAAAAAAGGGGTCCGACGTATCCGGACAAAAACTGCCGGCATAAGCCGCGCTTCCGCACCGAGGTCAAAAGCCACACTAAATCACCGGGACAATAGGTCACAGAACGGTGGCGACCATCGTAGCGCATTTTTCATTTGTCTTGCGATGCCAAAGTCGGTAAACGAGCAACACGATGCACCCCTTCAGGCAAGGCAGAGGGTTTCGACCACAGTGAGGTTCTCGCGAGAAGAGAAAGGCACAATTTTGTGGAGAGTGTGCCAGGGTGGACGTGCATAAAGCAAGAAGAAATGACTACAGCCGGTAGTCGCATGCGGAGCTGTGTAAAACGCATACGTTATAACAAAAAGTTCGTCATTCCAGTTCTTGTCGTTGAATGAAGCATACATGAAGAGCATGTTTACAATTGTTCGGTTGGTGCGCGCCGTGACTCCATATGTTTGCGAATGGTATGGTGTAGAGGGACGATATGTTTTCTGCTCACATCCTCGTTTAACGAATTGCACTTTGTAGAAGGCAGCATGTCCCTTCATGATGGATGGGCAATTGCTCTGAATGACGATTTGCTTTCGCATTTACTTTTTTAAGAAAGGATAGGGAGATAACATGATACCAGGTGCCTTGCAGTGCATTTCTTAAATTAAGTCCCAGTTCTGGTGATCCCTGGTGCATGACTGATCAGCCCACAAATGGCAAAACTGGATATCGTTACGAATCGCGTCCTGGAGTAATAAATATGACGACTGTTTCCGGATAGGTTGCATCCAATTTCCTTTCAGAAACGAAGGCAAAGCTTTTTTCTCAATCGCTCATCCCACTGGGGCGATCTATCGAGATTTTGCTCAAGAGACGCTAGTACCAACTGCTCATAGCAAAAATATTACAAGCATTTCATAAGAATAATGAAGAAAATTGAAATAATGAACTTGTTTACGTTGAGTTGCCTCATTAATAAGGTTCTATCTACAGCGACTAGAAGTAAGCATCGTTGGCCTTTTTTATTAACGAGCCACTGAATAGGCACACCGTGAAACTGCTGCGCTGTTTATTTGTTTATTGCTTCATGATATAATTATCGCAGCTGATTTTGGAACGGTCAGCGATTTGTCGAAAGTTTTCTGTTGTTTATGTTGTGTTGTGCAGATTTTTTTGCCTTTACACAACAGAGGTGATCGTAGTATTGTTCCCGGTTTTGAATACTCTCCGGCTGCTGAAGTTATTGTGCGAAATCTTGAAAGGTATGGGAAATTCTATTGGTCCTATACTCCAACAACGCAGCACTGTCATGGCCCAGAAAGTTGGGATTATTTATAATCGGGTACAGCCTAAAATTTCAAGAGAGTCACCAGTTAAAATGTCCAGTCTTGTCTTATAGTAACCTTTTTTCCTACCCCACGTGTAGACACTGTAGGGTAATCAAACAAGGCAAGTTTAGTTAAATAGCCTGCCTTTCTTCTTTGTTTCTCTCTCTCTCTCCCACTCATGTACTAAACCATGTACTCCGAAGGCAGGGTTACCAGCTGTCCCATTCATGACGTCACTCTGGGGTGCGCGCTTCATTGGCGCAGGCTTGTGGGCGAAACACCACGTGCATCTGAAGTTTTACGACGCCATTGCCGCAAGCTATGTTGCAATAGCGCGGCGCTATACGGTGGAGTTGCAATAGCGCTGCTGTATTTTAGAAACAGGTTTTCATGTCTTATTATGATCATTTCATAGGCTATTTTCATTTGTTTTAATACAAGCTAGTGTAGAGGAAGAGGCCTGGGCAGTTAATGGCTTAGACCAAACACCCCGTTTCGCGGCACACGATCCCTTTCCCCACCCTCGCTCTCTTCTTTTCTCCCGTTATAGCTTGTACCACCCAGAACATAAATAGAAGATCTTGGAAGAACATAGGCGAAATATTGCGAGGATTACGCTGTCATGAGAACGACCGCACGGCCCATACAAGCGTTCCTGTAATCAGTGACGAACGGTAATGCGAGCGCGACACGAGTTCTTGCAGGACGTCGCCATCAGCAGTCACCATGTACACGTATCCCACCCAGTACGAGCACGAGAGCTTAGGTCTATTGTCCCTACATTTGCTGTAATGAAACAATGAATAACCGGGCAAGCTTTGGGTGGCGTTCTCCCTATCACGATGCATGCGATCAACCGTGTCTGCTCAGTATATCGCCTCTAATTCAGTGCGCCATTTTCCCCTCTCGTGTTGCACTCACTGCTCTGGTGATAACAGTGTGTGCGTTTTCTTTATGTCATTCACTAACCTATTCACGAATTAAAAAAAATCTCTTTGAGGCCTTTATAACTGCGCC